GTCATTGATAAAAAAATAAAAATAAAAAAAAAAGTTTGCATCTTTGTAGTTCTCAGTGGATGTTTTTTTTTTTTTTTTTTTTTTTTTTTTTTTTAATGTGGTCCAATCCAAACGCAGACACATAAGGAGCGAAAAAGCTTCCAAAATTTTCACACCATAGCAGCTCATGTGAAGACTTGGTTGTAGAGTGTGAGTGAGTAACTGTGAAGGAGCTTTTATAACAGTTTTCCATGTATCTTCTGTCTGGTGTCAATGTTTGTCAAACCAGATTGATTTCTTTAAGCTCGCAGTCAAAAGGCGAGCGGAGCAGGCTGTGGCGGTTTGGGATTCCGTCAGATAAGGAGACGCAGACATATCGTTTTCGGATTTCGAAATGTGTAAAAAGTGTTATGGTTTTATTTTTAGACGCGCGGTTTTAGCGAGGGAGACGGCCGTGGGAAATTCGGTCGCTTCGAACGCGAAACGACTGGTCAGCGGCGTCGTGCGGCTGTGTGAATGTCAACGGATTTATTATTTCTAGGGGTGTGACGATGTCCAAGTCTCACGATACGATATCCAAGTCTCACGATACGATATCCAAGTCTGTCTCAAGATACGATATCCAAGCCTCACGATACGATATCCAACAATATGATATCCAAGTCTCACGATACCATGTCCAAGCCACACGATATAATATCCTAGCCTCAAGATACGATATCCAAGCCTCACGATACGATATCCAAAAATATGATATCCAAGTCTCACGATACCATGTCCAAGTCTCACCATACGATATCCAAGTCTCACGATACGATATCTAAGTCTCACAATACGATATCCAACAATACGGTATCCAAGTCTCACAATATGATATCCAAGTGTCACGATACGATATCCAAGTCTGTCTCAAGATACGATATCCAAGCCTCACGATACGATATCCAAAAATATGATATCCAAGTCTCACGATACCATGTCCAAGTCTCACGATATAATATCCAATACGATATCCAAGATACGATATCCAAGTCTCACGATACGATATCCAAGTCTGTCTCAAGATACGATATCCAAAGCCACACCATACGATATCCAAGCCTCATGATACGATATCCAACAATATGATATCCAAGTCTCACAATACGATATCCAATAGTCATGATGCGATATCCAAGTCACCATACGATATCCAAGCCTCACGATACGATATCCAAGCCTCACCATACGATATGCAAGCCTCACGATACAATATCCAACAATACGATATCCAAGTCTCACGATATGATATCCAACAATACGATATCCAAGTCTCACCATACGATATCCCATACGATCCAATCACGATACGATATCCAAGTGTCACGATGCGATATCCGAGTCTCACGATACAATGTCCGAGTCTCACGATACGATGTCCGAGTCTCACGATACGATGTCCGAGTCTCACGATACGATATCCGAGTCTCACGATACGATATCCAAGCCTCACGATACGATATCCAAGTCTCACGATACGATATCCAAGCCTCACGATACGATATCCAAGCCTCACAACACGATATCGTCACGGTATGAACCTCATGGTACAATATTTTTTGAGATATCGTGGGAAAGCTCACGATATGGTGGAGAGGCGCACGAATCCAAATCTCTTGTTACAATATACATCTCATGGTACGATATTTATTGCGATATTTTGTGGAGACAAAACTGTGAATATGCTACTTTTTCCTTCTTAAAACGCCTTGACACGACTTAATCCAGTTTTGTTTTTGCTTCCACAAAATATCGCAATAAATATCGTACCGCGAGGTTCATACCGTGACTATATCGCATCGTGAGAATTGAATATCGTTACACCCCTAGTATTTATTGGTTAATTGATAAATATAATCATACACATACTACATTGACAGTATTGACAGTAACCAGGACCTCTCCAAATCCAAATTCACTTTATTTATGTACATTTTACCAAAAAAAAAAAAAAAAGGGCACAGAGATAAAAAAAAATTAAGACAACAAAAAGGTAGATTGTTAAAATTTGATCATTCCAGTCCTAAAACAATAAAACCATTCAACTCAAATAAAAGCAAAAACCATAAAATTATAAAATAGCAGTAAATAAATAAAAGAGACAGAGGACCACACAAAACTAAAGTGTCACCATATAGTTTATTAAGAATGATTCAGGGTTATTATTTGGCCTAACTCTGCTGTCTAACTTTTTAATTAAGTAATTATTACCCTTTAATCAATGTTAATAAACTATGAATTAAGTCTTTATTAAAGGGTATGTTATAATGTTGTGTCCTCATCAAAAACATACTCTTGAGTTGTGTTTTGTTTCATTCGCACATGTTTTACGCTGAGTCCTTCTCTCAAACGGAAAACACTTTGTTCCACCTTGTGATGTCATGTGGCGATACAGGAAGTGCTCCGTTGGGTTTTTACACTCCACACACCTTTACTGAAATCATTTGGATGATTTCAGATCTGGAATTGCTGATCTATACTTGGCGAGAGCTAAAAAAAAAAAAAAAAACTGTAGCTGTTGAACTTGAACACTACAGCTTCATGACCAGTGTTGGGGAGTAACAGATTACCTGTAGCAGAGTTACGTAATCAGAGTACAAATTATGAGTAACTATTCGGTTACAGTTACTGTGTCCATGAGTGGTAATTGGATTACAGTTACTTTGTTGAAATAAATGGATTACATGGCGGTATTTTCCTGTTTTCACATTTTGGGCTAAACCAGAACTAAACCAGAACTAAACCAGGTCTAAACCAGGTCTAAACCAGGTCTAAACCAGGTCTAAACCAGGTCTAAACCAGGTCTAAACAATATGACACTAAAAGAGTGGACATACTTTAAGGCAGCAGTGATCTCATATAAAAATAATTTCTCTATCAATAATATCTTTAATATGGTTAAGTAAAAACTGGACTTTTTATTGTCTTTGAGCAGACAAAACATCTCATGTTAAGATTCTCATCTTTGCTACTTTACAGCAAACAAAAACCTGTTCATGGAGACTTGGGCTCAACAGACAATTTGAAGAGAACAAACAAGAATTTTCAGGATGTGGTTGGTACATTCATGTAGTTTAAAAAAGCATGACAATATCAAGTAATCCAAAATATTCAGATTACATTACGTTAAATAATTTAATGGATCACGTTACAAACTACATTTTGGTGTCTGTAATCTGTAATCTGTAGGGAATTACATTTTAAAAGTAATCTTCCCAACACTGTTCATGACATCATAAGGTGGAACAGAGTGTTTCGAGCTTTGGAGATGTAGACAGACTAATAAAAGGATTACTCAAACATGTGAATGAAACAAAACACAACTCCAGGTTTGTGTGTGATGATTTAACAATGTTCCAACATGACTAAAAGCTCACATGAGTCAGTTTGAGTAATACGGGACCTTTAAGACTAATCTGAAGGGATGAAACAGTAACCGAAATATCGTTTTATCGTATCGTCAGAAGAAATATCGTGATATCGTATCGTCAGAAGTCTCACAATAATATCGAGAGCGGTCACAATATATCAAATTATAAGTTCCTTTGCTTCAATGCATTGTTGTTTAGTAGGAACAGCTCATAAACATCGGGAACTACATATCCCATGATTCATTTCAGCGCAAACGACATGAAGTTTTACGATTTTACTTGAATTCTTGAGATTCTGACAGTAATAATTCACACGAAAATCTTATCTTAAAGTATTTTAAAAGCAAAGAAAGTGTCCTATCTAGAATTATATTTGCCTCTCCAAAATATTGCAGTAAATATCGTACCGTGAGATGCATATCGCGATTAATCAGACTAGTTTATGGCTAAAAATCTCTAGTTTATTATCATATTTTATACTTTCTAACGCTGCTGCCACTTACGAGACCGGAGCCGTCAATCGAGACAGCTGAGCCTCGCTTAATAAGAAAAATAACAACTCCCGATTTCCATTTATAGGTTTATTTACCCTTGATGCATTGCTTCAGATCACCCTGCGTGCGTATGTATGACTGGTGTTGACTCACATCCGGCCACATCTCGCCCTCGACAGGTGCAGGAGGAACCGGCCTCGCACACACACACACGCGCGCAAACACCGAGAATAGACCGCTTTCATTTACCTAATTGTTCACGTGAATCTGCCGTGACGCTCTGACCAGGAGTTGAGACGAGCACGAGCAAAAAAAACGAAACAGCGACGCGTACTCGAAGCCACGTTTAAGAAGATACTGAGTCAGTGTTAAGAGTTCTAAGTGCGCGCAGCAGTGAGGGAGCCAGGGCCTTGACCAATGTGAGTCGGTTTTTCTGAGGTGATTTTGTTCTGCAGGGTTTGTGAAGCGCTTTGGGGCCCAGAGCAGATGAAAGGTGCTATTTAAATGTAAGTGCCACTCCATTCCTTCATTTCCTTCATGTCCTACTGCAGCCTGTCACCCCACTCCCACACACATAAACCAGCACGCACACACCCCGAGCACAGACACTCCTCCTTCACCTGTCCTTTCCTCCTCATCTGTGCGCACTGTCCAGCCAGGGCTCCTACACCTTTACCTTAAGTGGACGATATGTGACATGAAGAGGGCAGTCAGTGTAGAATATAACTCATTAACGTATTTATCCGAATGATTTATGGACAGAATGAATCCTACATTAATATTCTGTTTCCCTTCTCAAATTTATTGGTCTAAGATTTGTGATTAGTAATTGTTATTTATTCTTCTGAAGAATATATTTAAAGAATACGCTTTTTAGTAGGTTTTAATTCTATTTTACATTGTACATGGAGGCGACACTGTATAAAATGTATGTTCATTAAATACATGTATTTGATTACATTTTATACTTTTTAAAATAATAGTTAATAGTATTTTCCAAGTGAGCATGTGAGTGTAGGAGCCCTGTGGACAGTGTTTGAGTGTGCTTCCTGTGACCCCTGCTGTAACAGTGCTGTGTGCTGTCCTCCCGTGTCCCTGGTCCCTGTGGTTTGTGCAGGTGCCCTTTCTGCATCTACTCCACCAACCGTCCGGCGGCCATGGAGTGCCACCTCAAGACGCACTGTAAGATGGAGTATCGCTGCCGCATCTGCCAAGGACTGTGGCCAGACCAGGCCGCGCTGGAGGGCCACATGCGCGCCCATCGCCTGGGCAACCACTACAAGTGTGAGCAGTGCGGATACCTGTCCAAGACGGCCAACAAGCTGATCGAGCACGTGCGCGTGCACACGGGGGAGCGGCCCTACCACTGTGACCGCTGCTCCTACAGCTGCAAGCGCAAAGACAACCTGAACCTGCACAAGAAGCTCAAACACGCGCCGCGCCACCCGCTGGCACGCTGCCACGACTGCCCCCTCACCACCCCGCACCCCTTCGTCTACAGCCGCCACGTCAAGAAACGCCAGCGCGCGGCGGAGGAGGACGAGGAGGAGGAGAGGGAGGAGAGGGCGTCTCCGGCCACATCGCACTTCCTGTTGGGAGCAGGAAGCAGCGGGGGCAGCAGCAGCAGCAGCCCGCTCATGAACCTGAGTGCCTCCCAGGCTCTGCAGTCTGTGGCCCTGTCCCTCACTTTAGGCAAGTCCCTCAGACCCATGGACCCCCCCATGGACCCCCCCAGTGCTAACGGCCCCCCCTTCTGCTCCCCCCTAGAGCACTACACAAACTGTGAGCGCCCCCTCATCCCCCTCACCACCCTCTACACATTCCAGCGGCCCGGCCCCTCCCCCCGGCCCGGCCCCTCCCCCCGCTCGCCTCCTCCTCCTCCCACAAACACTCCTTCCTGGCTTACCTGGGACTCACCGAGAGGGCCAAGACTGTGTGACTCGAGAGCGCCCCCTCACTCCGACTGTGGGCGCTCGCTCTTTTCCAATCAGACCAGCAGAATAAGCTGGAGCAGACTCACATATTGAACATAAAAACATTTATAAGAGTAAAAGGCTGTACATGCTAAAGGCATTTATATCAAGAAGCTGCTTTTCTTATCAGTTCTATCGATTGAATTATTACTACTTCAGCTACTACTCTCTGACTTTCTGTTTTTAAATGTCTGAATGAGCTGGAACCGGTCGCATTATCCGAGGAAACTAACGTATCTCCGTTTTATAGCTATTTTCTTTAGTCGTTTGACGATATAAAAGGTGAAAAAGACAAAGGAAAACTTGCAAGTCCTATATTTTAGTGCATTTTTGTCTATTGCTATTATGCATCAAAATAGCATGCCTGGTTCTGTGTTTCAACTTAGCTTTGGCGTCATTAGGAAGCTAAATTCAAAATCTTTCAAGTGTTCGCGGCGGACAGGAACGAAGCGCTTCTCGCTGGAGTAAAGGCACGTTTCCATAGCAACGCCTCAAAACCACGCACTTACTTATTTATCAATCTTGTACATAGTTTTTGTAGCCCCTCCCTTTCCTTCCCATGTTTTTTTTTTTTTTTTTTTTTTTTCGTATTTTTTGGTGAATTCATATTATGCATAACTGCTGCCTCATATCCCTGGGCGTCTCAAAATCAATACCGTTTTTTTTAAAGCTTACGAAAATAAGCTGTGAACTTGACGGGCGCGATATTAATAGTATGTCACTCTATAGAAGTATTTGCACTCCCTGTTGTCGGAAAAAGGCAGTTTGAGACGAGTTCAGCTGGACAAGGTGAATCGTTATTGCTGAGACCACGCGAATATGAATGCGGCTTTATATGCACACTATGTATCACACATCTACTATAGTTAGAGGAGCTATGAGATAATTGTTTTGTGGAGGTGACCGCTGCCGACGCGCACGGGACACCACAGGCCGATTCAATGGTGCTTTTTGGAGATTTTTGTAATTTTTTGTGTATAAAAAAAAGAAAAAAACTGTTCCAAAATGACTTGAATGAATGTATTTTCGTTGATGTACAAGTGACGGAGAAGTTCGAACGGCGACGTCGTCTGGAAAGCTAGTGGTGGCCTTCATGTTATTTTTTTTTTATTATTTTCACTTTTGTACTGAGCCTTTTACATCATGACATTTTCTACTAACACGCAAATACAGAATAGAGCTGCGTTCGGCGGTGAAAAGGCGCCGGGAGACATGGTACTTATCGTTTCACGCCCCCTTTTTTTGTTTCTGTCAATCTTCTGAGTTTTAATTGCACTTAATGTAGTTACACTTCAAGCCAAAAGCACTTAATCTCGTATGTTCTCTTTTGATTTGAAAAGTCAGTCCAAGATATTGCTATGTAAATGAAAACGGTGTTCATTCGAGTCCTACTTTATGAGATGGGTCAGTATGGCAGTGAACAATGCGTGGGTTCGACGAGAGGCGCCGATGTTCTACCCTATATTTAACATTTTTAATATAATGCAAATGGAGCAATCGCTAAATTACAACCAGTGCCGCTGCTTCTGAGACTTCGCGGCGACTGTTGTACATGTATGTCTACGCCGGAATGTTCAGCAAGCAAATATCGCCGAAAAAGTTTTAAGATCGTCTGAAAACACAAACTGGAAAAAAAGAAAAATGAAATGGATTTAAACAGCACATCTCACGATCTTGTTTAGGTGTTTGATTTTTAAGAAAAAGTTAACCGTGACTAACTAAAAAACTATTTATTTGACTCATTTATTGGAGAGAGTCGTTTGTTTGACAGCACAAATCAGTTCAGCTGCTGTAGTTTCAATTAAATCAGCTCTTTTAAGGTCAAATTGTGTTAAAACGAAGCTCAGATTAAAGTTTAACTTGAGTAACGGAGCTTCACACAGGACATGCCTCCAGTTAGCGTCACACCCCTCAATCTTATTACTGTATCTGGCTAAACTGAAGCTTTTTTCCCTCCCAAAACCCAGTCAAAATTGTTCTAACATTCAAGTAAAATAATTGAGGAACTTTTTAAAGTTGACTTCAAACTCAGATTCGATAATGTAAAGCAATTGCAATATCACAATGGTAAAATAATGTAATTTTTTACCAAAAATAATGGTAGTTTCTATATTATTACTGTGTGGTCTAATACTAATTCAGATATATTTTCAGACCTTCTAAAAAAAGGTCTGGAAAGGTTCACAATTGTTCTATGTATGTCATTTTTTTCAGTATTCGAAACTTGTTTTAGAACTGATTCATATCTGGGTTTGATATTTGTATATGGAGAAACTGAAGCTTTTTTCCACTTGTTTTTCAACCCAAACGAGAGATGAACAAATAGTTTTAAGTCAAAATTGTTCTAACGTTCAAGTAAAATAATTGAGGAACTTTTTAAAGTTGACTTCAAACTCAGATTCGATAATGTAAAGCAATTTCAGTATCACAATTGTAAAATTATGTAATTTTTTACCAAAAATAATGGTAGTTTCTATGTTATTACCATGTGGTCTAATGCTAATTCTGATATATTTTAAGAAATGTCTGTAAAGGTCACAGTTGTTCTATGTATGTCATTTTTTTCAGTATCAATACTTGTTTTAGAATTGATTCATATCTGGGTTTGATATTTGTATATGGAGAAACTGAGGCTTTTTTCCCCCCACGTTTTTCAACCCAAATGAGTGATGATACAACAATTTGACTTAAAACTATTTTAACATTAAAGTGAAATAACTGAGGAACTTTTTAGAGTTGACTTAAACTCAAATTTGACCATGTAAAGCAATTTCAGTATCACAATCTTAAAATAATGAGTTTCTGTATGATTACCATGTGGTCTAATACTAATTCTGACTTTGATACTATTTTAAGACCTTCTAAAAAGGTCTGGAAAGGTTTAAAATTGTTCTATTTGAAGTCACTTTTTTCAGTATGGACACTTATTTTAGAACAGATCAATATCTGAGTATGGAGATTTTTTATAACGCTAGAAATTTTTCTATTAAATTTTATCACTACACTTGTGCTGCTCTTAAACTGTAGAAATCTGGAATCTATTTGTAATCTGTAGAGAAAGGCTCTTCCCAAACTTGATAAAGATTTCAACACATCAATAATGATTTAAAACACTTATTTTTAAGTGTAACATAATGTTTTATTTAACACAAAATAAGAGTTGTTCATTTTTTATTATGCGGTCTTACACTAGTTTTAATATTGACCTTTCTAAAACTATTAAAGTAAAGTTCAATTTCAGTATTTATATACATTAATACCAGTATTTCTTGAGTATTGACACACTTCTTCAGTACTTTACAAAGGTCAAATGAGTATCTAGTATCAATTAGTCGTTTCTAGGCACCTTTAATATTTATTTCTTCTTAAAGATGAACTGGCAAAGGTGTAACTTTTCTGGTGGAGCGTTCACTACCTGATGTCTCCATGGAGATGTCATTGCTTCGTCTAGAATGTTCCGCAGTACAGATTAAACCTATAACTATCACGAAGCATAGTTCTACGCTCCATTACAGGTCAGATCTGTGGAGCGTCGCCCCCTATTCGCCGAAGGAATTCTTGTATTTTTGAGCAATTGAAACACCCGTAATGACTCGACGCTCTTAGATGGAAATGTTTAAAGTCATACCACGGAACATTCCAGGTAAAGCGGTGACAGACGACGGACCTTCCACCAGAAAAGTTCCACATTGCACCTTTTGGAACAATCTCCGCGAGAAAAATTGCCATACTGGTCCATCCCGTATCGTACAACTGTGTCTGAAAAGTCCAAACTGAACCAGCCCTCGCACGGAGCCCGGACGCTCTGTGTAAAATACAATTAGCGGGAATTAGACGGTAAAGGTCACGCTCACCCTGGGAACTAAAGATCCCAGGCTAAATTGTAAACGCCAATTTGCACAGTGCTGCACTTTTTTTGATTATGAAAATATGTATTTATCCATGAATGAGAGCGTATGTCTCCAAGATGCATACCGGCATTTTATTTAGAGAAAAAAAAAAAAGCTTTACCCATTTGAAAACACGGCGCTTGTGTTCCGAAGTGGTCTTCAAGCCAAAACCTCTTATTTGTAAAGAGGTTGTTTTGTTTTGTTATTTTTTTTTTATTTTTCCTTAATTTGTAATGTCATGCATTGTCAGAATTTTGTCTTGTTTGTAAAAAAAAAAAATCAGAATTGGACACAGAAGGATTCACAAGACCAAAATGTTCGCAGGAAGTGGATTTAGGATTTAATCTGTCACTTCTTGGTCGGGGACTGAGCTGTGTGTTTATAGTTTGCGTTCACGGCAGGGCAGTAAACAAGGGGGGGATAAAGGGGTCTGTTGTCTGGGGCCCCAAGGTTTTAGGGCCCCAGAATTGGATCATTTTACTATTAATTTCTATCAGAGGGGGGCCCATGTGAGGTTTTTTACCCCGGGGCCTCCAAATTTCTGTCGACGGGCCTGGCATTTTAGATTTTGAGCTTCAAGTAGAGGACAGGAGGCTTGAAAAATGTAATAAATCCACAGTTTTTAGAAAATATCAACAAAAAATCCACAAATGTCGAACCTTGTCGTTTTTGTTAAAGCTGCATTTTGTAACTTTTCTCGTACAAGTCCAGCTCCCGATGGTGTCCACGGAGATATACAAGGGCGATTGTTTTTCTCTAAGGGTTCCCACGGTCATGGAAAGTCTAGAAAAGTCATGGAAATTGGAAATGTTATTTTCCAGGCCTAGAATTTTGTAAATTCAATGAAAGTTTTGGAAAAGTCATGGAATTTTAGTATGTCTTTCACGCAACTACAGCGTTCTGTTAAGTTTCTGAACGTCTGCGCCTTTTTTTTTTTTTTTTTTTTAAAGAGACGACAATAAATGCACTGACAGTATTTGAATATTAAAAAAACGATAATCCCAAACCGTAAGGTGAGTGGAAAGAGTTAACATTTCAGATTTAGCTCTAAAAATCTGATCAATTCTACACATGTAGGTGTCGTAAAGTCATGGAAAATTCACTTTAGGTCATGAAAAAGTCATGGAAAAGCGTGGGAACCCTGTTTTTTCTCTAGAATGTCCC